TTTTGTCAGAATTCAATTTGTTAGTGTAACGTAGGAATAAACTATTGCATGTTGGGGAGAAAAAGTGACCATGTCAAGTCCCAAGCAAAATCTATCTGGAATAGCAAAAAATAAACTGTGCTATCCTTTGCATAAGTGAAAAATAAAATATATATATTTTTTCTTATGTCATTTGCAATTGTTTATAACAAACTATTTAAACAAATTATAAAAAAATTTATAATTTTCAAAATCTGAATGCGGAAATCGATTCTGGGGGTAAAGTTTAGACGAAAACCTATATAACACTTTTCTGTCAGAGGCCAATTAGTTATTGTAATGAAGGAAGAAACATTCGGCCTCCTGAGAGTGTTTCAAAAAATCGTATAAAATGAAGCTAATTATTGTATTTACCCATCAATATTGGCATGAATTATTGTAAATATAATCGGTGGGATTGAATTATTGTTCATTGCCATGTCCTTCTTTATGACTTTTGCAAACAGGCATAGAACATTTCTCACAATACCATTCCGTTCTTGTCCGACATGTTGAAATTCCACATTTCCTAAGACTCCCATGTTTCATCACGTGTTCTTGGGATGAAGTTTCACTCTGTTTCTGTCGTTTGGGGGGACGTTTGGAAGATAACTTGTCAATATAATATTCACAAACTTCTTGAACAATATCTTTGGAACCTTTTCTTTCGTCTGGATGTAACTTATTGTAAATCACTGTAGCGTTTGCTAAGGATGCTTGGATGAGCCGTAATACAAGGCACCATGTCCATTTCTTACTTCGAATTGTAGGCATCAAAGCATTACAGTGTTGATCATGTAGATCGACGCCACCCATGTGTTCATTATACATAGAGAAACAATGAGGAAAAAGAATAGATTTTTTCGATGATTCCTGCCATCTCTGCATTTCAACTTTTGGTTCATTTCCATATTTCGAAGAGAGAATCGATACTGGCTTTGAGTCCATAACTGTAATATAATTCAATTTTGAATTCACTTCATGCATTGAAATAGTGTATCCTCTTTTAGCTTTTTTTGGCATTTCGACTTTCACTTTCACACGATTATGCCGAACAGTTCCTGTCGCCGATAAACCATTTTTTTTCAAATGAATCATAAGATCTGGGTTTGTGAAAAAGTTGTCAAAATAAATATGATACTTTTTCAGTTCTTCTCTCTGTGTTTTTTCTAATAAATTCGAAAGTAACTTTATCACCACTCTAGACCCTAAACCAACGGCAACTAAAGGATTTCGTTCATCGATTCCTGATTTACCAGTGTAAATATCAAGATCATATATATACCCATCAGAAGAACAGACTGCCCATTCTTTTATTCCAAATCTAATGGGTTTATTCCTTATACATTGCTTGATACCAAACCTACCAAAGTATTTTACCATTATCTCATCTATTGATAAATTATAGTCAAAGAAACCAAATTGCATACAATTCTCACGAAACATATCATACAGAGTTCTAACCTTCCAGACTTTATCATTTTGATCAGTTTCTTGAAGTTTATAGAATCGTATGTTCTTTTTTATGGCAACGAAATTATTTCTAGACATAAGTTCCGCAATTACTGGACACTGAAGTATTCGCTTTTTTGACCAGTAATCACGAATACTTTTTCTAGAATTGAAGATAGTAATCATTATGATTGTAATAAATTTTTCTAGATCATCCATACATAAATCAAAATGATTTTCAGAAGTGGCTTCAATGATATGGTTTTTCATTGATTTCGAAAAGAAAACCTCAAACAACTCAAAAGCATTTTTGGATTGCAATGATGAAATAGGTGAAATATTGAAGTTGCTCTCGACATGCGGAGAAATATCATTCAAAGCATCATTTTTCCAACTGTACTTATGATTCGGTTCCAACAATTTCTGAGTACTTGTGTATGTACTTTTAACATGTTCGTAAGAACCTGATGGTAATTCATTTGATAATGTATCTTCATTTGGATCACCGTCCGAATCTCCATCTGAACTTTCATATTCATTAGGAATGAATGCTATATCAATATGTTGACCTTCATCACTATCAGAATCTTCAACTAAATTTGGTAGATCGCTAATTCTCCGTCTCGGCATTATCAGTAACGTTACCAATTTAGAACAAAATAAAAACTAAAAGTTTTCCGAAATTATTATTTCAAAGAATAGATCCAATGTATAAATGTTTTCAACCGTTAGCCCGCCACTCAAACGTGATCTCTAACACGGAAGGATTTACGAAATGAAATAAACTTATCCAATTACAGTATAAGATCTCAAAATTTATCAGTAAAAAATACTGATATGATTCCAGATACCATGTGTGAGAATGAAAACACTTATTTGTCAATAGTTTATTTCTACATAAAGATATCAAATTGAACTCTGACAAAAAAGTGTTATATAGGTTTTCATCTCAATTTTATCCCCCGAATCGATTTCCGCATTCAGATTTTGAAAATTATGAATTTTTTTGTAATTTGTTTAAATAATTTGTTATAAACAATTGCAAATGACATAAGAAAAAATATATATATTTTATTTTTCACTTATGCAAAGGATAGCACAGTTTATTTTTTGCTATTCCAGATAGATTTTGCTTGGGACTTGACATGGTCACTTTTTCTCCCCAACATGCAATTGTTTATTCCTACGTTACACTAACAAATTGAATTCTGACAAAAAAGTGTTATATAGGTTTTCGTCTTGATTTCACCTCCAGAATCGATTCCCGCATTTAGATTTTGATAATTATGAATTTTTTTGTAATTTGTTTAAATAATTTGTTATAAACAATTGAAAATAACATAAAAAAAAATACGTATATTTTATTTTTCACTTATGCAAAAGATAGCACAGTTTGTTTGTCGCTATCTCAACCAGTCTTAGCGTGGGCTTTAATGGGTTAAAAGGTGTCACTATCGCGACACCTTCATCGGGCGGCCTTTTTGTGTCCCAGAACATACACATATCCCTTATACATTGGTGGCGTGCGCGAGGTGTCAAACCAACATGAAATGCCCCTTAACACTCAGCATGGGGCCCACTGGCACGCGGAAGGTGTCAAAGGTACATCAAATGCCTTTTAGACACTCACCATGGGGTCTGACCATAAATTAAAAGGTGTCACTACCTTCACACCTTCATCGGGCGGCTCCTTTGTGTCCCAGAACATACACGTATCCTTATACATTGGCGGCATCCTTTGTCGGCTCCTTTGTGTCCCAGAACATACATTGCTTATCTACTGATGTAGATTTTCAAATTTATTTATTTATAAATAATTTGTTTCCCTACCTTTTATGTAACAACTATAAAATGCGTTGATTTTAATAAATATTACTTCTTCGTTCAATAGTATGTCACACTGTCATTATCCTTATTTAAGATATGACCACAATTATAAATGTTAATTTTATTAACCATATTCAAACATAAAATAATATTTTTTAATAAAACGGAAGATTTTCATAAATAACCTTGGACAAAAAAGCTGCAAATTGAAACCTTCAATTACTACGTAATTTTTTTTTAACAGCTAAGCTTTTCAATATATTATTAGGTCAATCAAATAACAAAGAACAGCAAAACATATGTGATTAACAAATGACATATGGTTATTTAGTGGTTTGATATTTTTTATTCAATAGTACTTTCCATTTTTTCTATAATAAATTTTGCGGTGTTGCCGGCAAGAACTTCAAATCAAATATACTTGAAAACTAGTTATAAAAATAATATTGTTTAAAAAAAAAAAAAACCGCGAGATTTGAACTCGAAATGCAAAATCATTAGACTGTAACGCTACGACCTCAGCCATCACAGCTATTATGATTAGATAAGGTTGAAAGTAGTTGAAAAATTTGTAGCCTCAGGAGCTTGACCAAATAATTCGTAGATAAGCTTAGGCTATAATTATTTTATCACTCAAATATATTATAAGGAGCATTCTTTTATCAGCATTATTTAATATATAAAATTGGTTTATGGAGTAATTCGACATATATATGCATATGCACTATATAAACCGGGAAGTGTCAATAGAATAAATCCTTTTTTCATTATTAGCATACAATTTGAGAAAAAAATTCTTCGTAAGTTTAATTTGTTCAATCAGTTATATCAAATACCACGTAAAAAATTATTGCGAAAAGGCGATTACTTTCATAGAGTTAGTTTTAGGCGCGAGCATGAATGAAGTCACTGCGCATGCTCCAGTAGACAAGGACAGCGCTGCCAAAGTTATCGTCTCTCTCTTTCTAACAAGCGGACCTCCCCACTTCAACTCGGGTATATGGCATGCCTACTCTATTTGTATTATCTCTATGCATTATCCCCCTTACCCTAGCCTGTAAAGTGTAATGGACAGTGAAAAAAAAGATACCATTCGAAATATTTCTAATTGATCCCTCCAAAAATGCTATTATTTTAATTGAACCCCTTCAGTTGTCCCAAAAAAATTTAAAAACTATAATAATTTTTTCGTTTTTTGCAACTGCGATATCTTTAATTATACTTAATATTTTTGCAAAGAAACAAGGCAAAAAATTTGAACCCTTACTCGTTTTAATTGCACCCCTCTTACTTTTTCAAAATTATTAATATATATATCAAAAACAACAATCTAATTTTATTGTATGTTCTTTCCAAATAGATCGGTATAGGGTTATTTTGAAAGAACATACAATAAAATAGGATTGTTGTTTTAGACATATATATTAATAATTTTGAAAAAGTAAGAGGGGTGCAACTAAAACGAGTAAGGGTTCAATTTTTTTGCCTTGTTTCTTTGCAAAAATATTAAATATTATTAAAGATATCGCAGTTGCAAAAAACGAAAAAATTATCATAGTTTTTAATTTTTTTTAGGACAACTGAAGGGGTTCAATTAAAATAATGAGCATTTTTGGAAGGTTCAATTAAAGCTATTTCGAATGGTATCTTTTTTTTTTTCATTGTCCATTACACTTTGCTAGCTAGGTCAAGAGGGGTGAAGACCTATTTCTATCTGTAAGATCTCTATGTAATGTTCTCTATGTATGGCCCAAAAAAGTGAAATTAAAATTTCAAAAATACAGGAATAAAATTAATAAAAAATTACTTTCTGATTTGAATGTATGATAATTAATTGGATTACTTTCAATTTTTAAATGTATTAATTTTTGACGTTTATGGTATATATAAGAAATCGAAAAACTCTAGAAATTGTAACCTATTTTTTTAGAAAAAAATGGAAGAATCAGTACCAAAGTTTGACTTAAAGGAAGTTAAATCTGATATTACAAGAGGTATAATTGAGTGTTCTCAACGTGGTTTAATGCATACTACTAAATGGTAACTATGCGATTTAAAAAAGTCAGGTGGTCTATTCCTATGAATTTTGAGAAATTTAATCTTACTCCATATTTTATGACATTATTAAGGTATACCATTTTTCAGGCTTGCAGAAATGAACTATTCATTAAGAAATATAAATGAAACATCTCCTGATATGAGTTTCTTTGAGCAAAGTGAAAATGAAGACATTTATCTATTAGTCAAAAGTTATTTTGATTTAAAAGAATACGATCGGGCAGCATATTTTGCAAAAGACTGTAAAACTGCAAAAGCAAGATTTTTATATTTTTATTCTTTATATCTTTCTGGAGAGAAGAAAAAAATCGATAATATGACTGACATTCCTCCTGACTTTTTGAAAAACAATAATTTAAAATTACTTTGTAGTGAGTTAAGAAAAGAAAGAACTACAGGAGATCTTGATGGGTTTGGGTTGTACTTATTTGGCGTTATTTTAAAAAAATTGCAATCAACAAAAGAAGCAATAAATATTTTTATAGAATCTATTCATAAACAGCCTATTCATTGGGGAACGTGGCTTGAACTAGCTAGCTTAATAACAGATACAGAGAATCTTGAAGCTTTGATGTTACCTAACCATTGGATGAAACATTTTTTTATAGCACATATGTATTTGGAATTACAACTCATTGATGAAGCATTTGCAATGTATACTCATCTACAACAGTCAATGGGTTTCGTTAAAAATGTTTATATTAAAGCACAAACAGCTATTGCAGTACATTACAAAAGAGGTAATCTATTTGTTTTAGAAGTATATCATATTTTGAAAATATAATTTATATGATACATTTAGATGTAGATAATGCATTAGCAACATTTAAACAAATATTAGAAGATGATCCATATTGCTTGGATAATATGGATACTTATTCTAACTTGTTATATGTGAAAGAACTGAAAAATGAATTAGCTCATTTAGCTCATCAAGCTACAGAAATTGATAAGTACAGATTAGAAACATGTTGTATAGTAGGTAATAATATTAAGTATGAATATTGAAGTGAATTAGCCAACATTTTGGCCTTATAATAACCAAACATGTTTTCTGTATTATTTGTAGGTAACTACTACAGTTTAAGAGCTGACCATCACAAAGCTATTATGTATTTTCATAGAGCTTTAAAATTAAATCCACAATATGTATCAGCTTGGACACTTTTAGGTCATGAATTCATGGAAATGAAAAATACAAATGGTGCTATTCATAGTTATCGTCAAGCTATTGGTACTAATGTGTTTAGTTATCTTTTTTATTTCTATAATGTTTTATATTAAAAGTTTTATTTATTACAGAAGTCAATAAAAGAGATTATAGAGCATGGTATGGCTTAGGTCAGACTTATGAAATTTTAAAAATGCCATTTTATGGCTTATATTATTATAAACAAGCTCAATTATTACGTCCTCGTGATAGTAGAATGGTAACTGCTTTAGGAGAAGCATATGAAAAACAAGATAGAATACCAGAAGCTTTGAAATGTTATTATAAAGCATGCAATGTTGGTGATATAGAAGGAATGGCTCTCATTCGTCTTGCAACGTAATTGTTTTTTTTAACATATTAGTAAAGTGCTTATCGTATATAGACTTTTATTGTCAATGTTGCTCATTTTATTGAAAAACTGTTACATGTTCAAAGATCGTTTTTGGTTATTTTGGATCGCCTCATTCTATCTGTCATCGGGTTTCCTTTTTCACTCTAAATCGCTAGTTAGAGCATGTAGTTTTTATATTATTTTTCAAATATCGATATGTCATTTGATTTATTCAGAAAAAATTAAAACCTCAAGAGTGAAGACATGTTTAACTTTGATGGACAAAACTGTTACGAATTATCGAAAATGAAAATTTTTCAGTACTACATTATTTTCACAGATTTCAAGAATTCGTGTATCAATTTTGAGATGTTAATATTTATAAGATAAGAATTATAGAAATGTTTTAGTGGAGTAGTGTAACAAGGCGTCATGGTTTTTCAACAGTAGTATAGTTTGTAACTTTTGAAAATACACTGTTATCTAATTTTTTTTAATTATCTTATCCATTCAAGATATACTAATCTTAATTTTTTAAAAGTTACGCAATTTTGAAAAAAAAAACTTCCTATATAAATTTTCAAAAATTAAACGTAAAAATATACTTCTTAGGGGAGAAGATATATAAAATTAAATTTACTTGTTTTAATTAAAAATTCATAACAGAGTTTTGTAAGTTGAACTTACGAATATCTTAGCTCAGCTTTAATAAGCTAAGGCTTTAAATTTTTCTGAATAAATGAAAGTATATATCAATCTTTGGAAGAAAACAGAATATTTTCAATGTATGGAGAATATTTTCAAAATTTTTCGCTTCATATGTTAGTAATTATTCTCTTTCGAGTAAATAGATAAATTTTTTCACGCATAAAGTTTGGTGAAAATCCTTACATACAAGAGAACGTCATTAACATTCAAAAAAACATCTATGAAGATAGATTCTTTTAAGAGAAATGAAGTTGTGAATTATTAGTGAAGGTTATTAATGTAGTATTGAATAAGAAAATCATTCCTACTTCTCTTATTATATGTTCATTTCAATAATATATATTAAAAATATTACGTAGGTGGTTATTTAAGGATCTACTAGGATTTATCAAAAATCAATTACTGGTATTTTTACATTTACACATTGCTCTTGATAAGCTATAATTTTATATATAATTTTTTATTTAAGAAATCTTGAATTGTTTTTCATTTTAATTTACTGTGTTTTGGTAACACCTATCACTACATAAATTATTCTTTATAGGCTCTATGAAAAGTTAGGTCAACAAGACAATGCAGCAGCTGCTTACACAGATTTTGTAAATGATGAATTTAGAAATTCAGAAAGAGCTGAATTGAGCAATGCTTACAAATTTCTAACACAGTATCACATCAGTCAAAATGAGTTAGATCAAGCAAACCATTATGCACAAAAATGCTTACAATATGATGAAACTAAAGAAGAAGCTAAAGCATTTTTAAGATCAATTGCACAAAAAAGAATAACAATTGAAGGAAATTCAATGCTTGTTGGTATAATTTAAATTATCAGTATTAAAATTTCTCGTACCCTACTTACAGTAATAGCAAATGAGAAATCCGTTCATCAAAGTTATAATTCACTTTAGGAAAACAGAACTGAAAATGATTATATATATTTATCTGTTCCCATGCGCATCAGTCTCTCATGAGTATCAATTACAAATCATTAATATACTGTTATATTTAAATATACAAATAAAATTAATCTTTCAAAATAGCAGTATTAACTTCCAATAATTATATATATATATATATATATATATATATATATATATATATATATATATACATATATACATACATTTATATATTATATACAGGGGGTCCCATTTTAAATGATGAACCTGAATATCTCGAAAACTTCACGTTGTACGAAAAATTGTTCATACAAAAGTTGTTTAGGACAGGAAGAGGGGGTCATCTACTAGTCAGATCAGTGTTCATTTTGAGAATGATTTTTAAGGTTATTTGAAGGTCAACTTTGTTTTTTTAAATGGAAACCCCGATTTTTTATCCCGGATTCGGATAGAGCGAGAAATTTCACGTTTAAATCATGTTATTTGTGTGGAGTCCAAATGACCCCCACCCCATCCCCAGTCATCTTTTCGAGGTTATTCTTACTACCCTCATTTTTCGTCGCAGGTTCGCATTCATGACTTTGGGGGTGGGGTGGGGGGTTATGTGGACCCCTTAAATATCCCATCATCTGAACGTACAATTTCACGTAGAATTCAAACCTGCGATGACAAATGAGGGGCCCCATTTAAAAAGTAAGATTGACCTCAAATGATTTTGGGGTGGGGTCCAGGTCATTTGGACCCCACACATATTACATGATTTGAACGTAAAATTGCCCGCTCTATCCGAATCCGGGATAAAAAATAGAGATTTCCATTAAAAACAACAAAGTTGATCTTCAAATAACCTTGAAAATCATTCTCAAGGTGAACACTGATCTGATAAGTAGATGACCCCACTGTTCTGAACAACTTTTATATGAACAATTTTTTTGTACAACATGAACTTTTCGAGATATTCAGGTCCGTCATTTAAAATGAGACACCCTGTATATACAGGGTGGACCATTTTAATCGAAGCACCCAGAAATATTTTTCCAGGTAAGGATGCGTGAAACATGTTTTAGACAAAAGTTGCTAGACTTCGAGGGGGACATAATCGGGTGACCTTGACTCTGACCTTGAGGGTCATTTTCAAGGTCATCCGAAGGTCAACTTTGTTTTTTTAAATAGAAACCCCCATTTTTGACCTCGGATTCAGAAAGAGCGGGAAATTCTACGTTCAGATGACCTATTATACGTGGGGTCTGAGTGACCACCAAGGTCGCCCCCAACATCACGTAAAGTTCAATGTTATTTTTTTCTTAATCTTTCCACCTAACTTCGACCTTTAGGGTCATTTTCAAGGTCATTTGAAGGTCAAATTTGTTTCTACTTTTCTATTAGTAGTAACAGTAGTAACAATTTCTACAATACTTGTTTTGGGAGTGTCTTGGATAGGGTAAATAAATCACACCAAAGTGTACAGTACACAAATTGATCTTATTTATCATGAAAAAATTATCATATTTATTATCTTTATTATTAATAATTAATCAGGAATCACAAAGCATTGTGAAGAAATCTTAATAATTACAAAAAATGTCGTTTCAAAATAATGTTACTCAAGTTAGAATTACGAACGGGTTTATGAAAAAGCTTACAACAAAAAAACCCTTACAGGAAGGGTCACCTAGATACTACATGTCTTATGTTTCAAGAACGTCGAATTCTTTGTTGTTTCTGAATCCGTGATAAAAAAGTAGGCTATTCCTAGAAACAGAAAGTTGACCTTCAAATGACCTTGAAAATGACCCTCAAGGTCGAAGTTAAGGTCACCAAAAGATGCCCCTCTCAAAATGCAATAACTTTTGTCTACATCATTTTTCTCTAAACCATACCGATCTTAGGTCAGTTAGGTAAAAAGATTAAGAAAAAAATAACATTGAACTTTACGTGATGTTAGGGGCGACCTTGGTGGTCACCCAGACCCCACGTATAATAGGTCATCTAAACGTAGAATTTTCCACTCTTTCTGAATCCGAGGTCAAAAATGGGGGTTTCTATTTAAAAAAACAAAGTTGACCTTCGGATGACCTTGAAAATGACCCTCAAGGTCAGAGTCAAGGTCACCCGATTATGTCTCTCTCGAAGTCCAGCAACTTTTGTCTGAAACATGTTTCACGCATCCTAACCTGGAAAAAGATTTCTGGGTGCTTCGATTAAAATTGTCCACCCTGTATACAGGGTGAGGAAAAAGTATGGAAACCCCGGAAAATTCGGAAAACCGCATGAGGTTAGTCATGAAACAAAGTCATACCCTATGTAACTTTCAACGAGAAACCCAACGATGACCTGCCATTTGCCCTTGAACTTCATTATCAAGGTTATTTCAAGATCAACCACTTTTTTTCATATGGGAACCCCTATTTTTTATACTGGAATCAAAAATAGCGATAAATTTTACGGGTGGGAACAATTCAAATCCGAAGATATCGTAACTCCTAATCCTCCTTTTAGCGCTAACCAGGAACGACATATTGACGTAGAAGGAATCTGTTCCCTTTGGGGTCATTTTTTTATAGTGAGGTCGCCTTGCCTCTCACTTCGGCGTGCTTTTTAATAATGAGTTCCTGTTGCCTCTCACTTTGGGATGCTTTTTTAATAGTGAGTTCCCCTTGCCTCTCACTTCAGGGTGCCTTTTAATAGTGAGTTCCCCTTGCTTTTCACGTAAATGAATTCACAACAGATGTTCAAATTGTTCTCCATTAGTTTTTTGACAGTAACCAATCCTATTGTAGAATGATTGAGTTGCATTTCGGATCATCTGCCGTGAAATGGCATTAATTTCTTGAACTATTCTATGTCTTAATTCTTTAAGATTTTGTGGATTACTTCTGTATACCCGATCTTTTAAATACCCCCACAAAAAGTAGTCCAAAGGGCTTAAATCTGGAGATCTTGGAGCCCACTCTACTATACCTTTTCTACCTATCCATCTATCAAAAAATGTTTCATTGAGGTATTGTCTGACATTTACACCGTAATGAGCTGGAGTACCATCTTGCTGAAACCATGTATTTTCAAAATCATCACCTCTTAAGGCCTGGATAGCTGGAACAATTTGATTTCGCAGAAGTTGTTCATAACTTACAGCGTTCAAATTTCCTTCGATAAAGAAGGGACCTATTATTATATCGCCTACTATTCCTGCCCACACGCTTAATTTTTTAGGATATTTAGTGTGACTTTCTCTCATCCAATGAGGATTTGTGTTGGACCAATATCTAAAGTTATGACGATTGACTTCGCCATTTAATTGAAATGTCGCTTCGTCTGAAAAAACAATGTTTTGTAAAAATATTAGATTTTCAGTAATCATTTGTATCATTGTCTCACAAAATTCTACTCGACGATCAGGATCATCCTCATTCAATTCCTGCACAAGTTTCATTTTATAAAGATGAAACTTGTTTACCTTTAAAAATTTAATAACAGATTTGTGATCGATCTCCTGCTGTGGTTTCAACTTCCAATTAATAGAAGTCAAGAACATATAAGATTTTAAAATCTAAATGATAACAATTTTTTAAATATTATTTGTAAAATTTGCACTTCTATTTTCTTTTCAAATTTTCACTTCTTTCAAATACCTTCAAAATAATTTTGTATTTCTAATAAACAATTAGCTTTACAGCCCATGAAATAGGAGAAAATGTAACTTTTAACGAAAAAAAACGTGACTTTCCAGTTTTTGACAATTTTAATGATATTTTATGCTCAAAGTAGTGACTTTCTATTTTCTAAAATGAATGATGAAGACTGCGAAAAAAATGAGATCCAAATGAACTGTGCCGTGTGAAAAAAGTGTTGTCTTCCTTTTTCAAAATTCTAAAAAAATACGAGAAAGATAGATTTTCAAAATGCTTTTTATTTGTTTTCTAGCAAAAATTAACCTTGTTTTTGTATTTTAAAAAAAATATTGTTTTCTCAGACGAAGCTACATGTCAATTAACTGGCGAAGTCAATCGCCAAACCTTAGATATTGGTACGACAAAATCCTCATTGGATGAGAGAAAGTCACACTCAATCTCCTCAAAAATTGAACGTGTAACAATAATAGGTCCCTTTTTTATCACAGGAAATTTGAACGCTGTAACTTTTGTGAAATCAGATTGTTTCAGCTATCCAGGCGTTAAATGTGATGATTTTGAAAATACATGGTTTCAAGGAGGATTAGGGGTCATGCTATCTTTGAATCGTTTCTACCCGTAAAATTTATCTTTCTTTTTGATTCCAGTATAAAAAATAGGGGTTGCTATATGAAAAAATGAGGTTGACCTTGATAAAGCGGTTCAAGGTTAAATCAGAGGTCACCGTTGGGTTCCTCGTTGAAAGTTACATAGGGTATAACCTTTGTTTCATGACTAACCTCATGCGGTTTTCCGAATTTTCCGGGGTTTCCATACTTTTTCCTCACCCTGTATAAACATTGTAATAACAAATTTGTAGCTAATACAGTTTATTTTACAGTGAGCTCTATAACTATTATTTCCCTAACTTTCATAGAAAGTCCTTGTGTAAATTTTGATTCTTTTTCCATTTTTAAAAAACGTAAAAACATCTTATTCTGATGCCAATATATTACTGGTACTATAAAATCAAAGCTTACATGGATTTATTACATTTATAATTACTATGTAATGTATCATGAATGAATAAATATCATGGTTATTGTGTTATTGATAAATGGATTTTGACCATAATTATCAAATTTTATTTTATTGTAAAAATTAATTGACTAATAAATTAATTATTAAATTTATTTAAACTACTTAGAAAGTCAACTACTCTCCGTACCCCGCATTGCATAAAGGTCAAAAATTAGAAAATTATTAACAAAACAAAAACAATTTTATTTTTATTTTTTTCATATGCTGTAACACGATGAGCACCAGCATTACTAATAATTAATAAAAACTAATACTGTCCACCATTCCTCGAATTATCACTGCCTTATGCCAAGAGCAACATCATCTACGCAGAAAATGGATAAATTCAACAACATGAAGTCTTGCCGAAATGCGAAGAAATTAATTATCGCATAAAATAAGCAAAAATAAAAATTACACGATATTCGAAATATAAATCGAAATATCTCTTA